TGTAAACAAGCCAGCGTCTCAGGGAGAAAAAATCGAGTCTGGCTTCTCTGTGACAGGCTAGCTTCTAGTCCAGTAGCACCCTGGGGAGAAATAAGGTTTTCAGGAGGCAAAGCTTCCTTCATCAGATATGGGGTTCCCCGAGTGCTTCGATCCCAGTCGGAAGGTGAGAGGGGTGTTGCCAAGAAAGAACTCAGGTTCCAGAGGCCCAGCCTGGCCGCCCTACCTTGGACTGGGCCTAGACTTGGCACAGGCATGGAATCTAATCCTATGGAAGCCCAGGGGCTCGTTGGCTGAGGCCATAGAACACCTGCTGGCCGAATGACTGGTCTGGGCCCGTGTTCCCTCTAAGCTGAGTCAGTGTGACCTAGCTCACAGTTTTTTAGCCTCCGGCTCACACATTTTTGTCTTCGCTCAGGAAGGAGGGTTCCAGAGCAAACTAATTTATGCAGAGGCCAAATCGCTCGCTCAAAAATTTAATGCCAGTCACTCAAAAATTAGAATTTTTGCTCACCAGACTCCACAGCTTAGAGGGAGCCTTGGTCTGGGGTTGAAGTAGGGGGGGCACTGTGCCGCTCTCGAAACAGTCCGGCTTTTGTCTTCCAGAAAATGCCATCCAGGCCTTCGGCAACGGGACGTACCTGAGCTCAGCCCCGGGCCCTTCCACCCCTCCGACGACGCAGCTGCGCAAACAGGAGCGGAACGCCAACAAAGCAGCCGCCACCCTCCGAGAGAACATCTTCGAACAGCTACAGCCCACCAAGGTAGGGAGGAATTGCAGGTTGCGTGCCTTAGTTTGGTATAGTGAGCCAGCTTGGTGCAGTGGTTAAGTGCGCGGGCTCTAATCTGGGAGAACTGGGTTTGATTCCCCACTCCTCCACTTGCACCTGCTGGATGACCTTGGGCAAGCCGTTATTCTCTCAGAACTGTCCCTGAAAGAGCCGTTTCTGTCAGAGCTCTCTCAGCCCCACCTGCCTCACCGGGTATCTGTTGTGGGAAGGGGAAGGGGAAGGAGTTTGTAAGCCACTCTGAGACTCCTTTGGGTAATGGAGGGCGGGATATAATTCCAATCTCTTCTTCTTCAGTTACAAGTTCTCTCACAGCTGTTCTCTCATATAAATCCAATCTCCTCTTCTTCAGTCACAAGTTCTCTCACAGCTGTTCTCTCAAGAGCAGTTTCTGTCAGAGCTCTCTCAGCCCCACCTGCCTCACAGGGTGTCTGTTGTGAGGAGGGGAGGGGAAGGGAAAGGAGTTTGTAAGCTGCTCTGAGACTCCAAGTGAAGGGTGGGGTATAAATCCAATCTCTTCTTCTTCAGTCACAAGTTCTCTCACAGCTGTTCTCTCAAGGGCAGTTTCTGTCAGAGCTCTCTCAGCCCCACCTGCCTCACAGGGTGTCTGTTGTGAGGAGGGGAGGGGAAGGGAAAGGAGTTTGTAAGCCGCTCTGAGACTCCAAGTGAAGGGTGGGGTATAAATCCCATCTCCTCTCCTCCTCCTCCTCCTCCTCATAGGAAGGCTCTTGCCCAGCTCAACTCGCTGACCTAAAACCACCTGTCTACTGAGTGCGTTTTTACTCCACCGCTCCTCCGAGGAGTTTGGGGCAGTGCGTATGGTTCTCCTCCTGTGGTGTAGGAGAGGCTCAGCGAGGGAGACCTACGAGCCCAAGGTCACCAAGTGAGCTTCATTGCAGAGTCGAGATTCGAACAAAGATTGCCCACTCTGTGTTGGGAAATTCCTGGAGATTTGGGGAGGGACCTCAGTGGGCCATTATGCCACCGAACCCACCCTCCAAAGCAGCCCACATCCGCCTCTGCACGCTTGGAGCTGTACACGGCTCACGCCATTAACTCCCCCAGGGGCCCGGAAGATTTTGGATAAGAAGAGAGTTAAGCCGATTAGGTAGGAGTTGGGGGAGGTTTCAAAGGAGCGGCAACTGGCTGGGCCCACCGGCAGCTCCCAGAGAGGGGGCTGTGTTCCAATAGCTCCGTCGAAAGAGCAACCGGGCCTCAAAGCTGGGTAGCGCAAACATTTGCCGAGATGCTTGGTTTTTACAGTTCTAGCTTGCAGGTGACCGTACAACACGAGAGCGAAGGTCTTAGCAGCAGCTGAGTTGTACGTGCCAATAGTCATAGAATCATGGAAGGGACTGGGTTGTACGTGCCAATAGCCATAGAATCCTAGAGTTGAAAGTAGGGTTGCCAAACCCCCCGGTTTGCCAGGGGCCCCCCGTTTTGGGGGGGGGGTTCTACCCGCTGCCGGCCAGATGGCCAGCGGGGGAAGCCCCACCCCCAACACCCACAGCCACCCCTCTCTCTCCCTTTAAGTCTGTGGAACTCGTGTTTCCTCCCAAGCCTGATCTCCGCAAGCTTGCAGGGAAATGCCAGTTTCGTGCTCTTAAAAGGGAAACGCGGCTGCTCTTAAAGGGGAAACGCCGGCTCCTGCATTTAAAAGGGAAACGCCGGCTCCTTTAAGTTGACCTTCAATCTTTCCCAGCATCAGGGTCTTCTCCAGTGAGTTCTCCCTTCTCATTTGCTGGCCAAAGTATTTGAGCTTCCAGGGAACAGTCAGGGTTGGTTTCTTGCAGGAAATTCACAAATGCCTCCCCCCCACACACACCCCCAGGGACCGCTGTTCCCCACCCAGAAGATGGCAAAAAAAAAAACGCTTTAGGATCCCTGGCCAAACTGCCCTGGAGAAAGTTCCAGGTGGGCAGCCATCTTGGTCTGAAGCAGTAGAACAAATTTAGAGTCCAGTGACACCTTTAAGACCAACAAAGGTTTATCCAAGGGATGAGGTTCGGTGTACAGGCACATTTTTTTCAAATATTTGAAGAAGTGTACATGCACACAAAAGCTGAGACCTCAAATAAACCTTTGATGGTCTTAAAGGTATGAGCTTTCACGTGCATGCACACTTTTTTCAAATATTCGAAGAAGTGTGCCTTGCACACAAAAACTCGTACCTTGAATAAACCTTTGTTGGTCTTAAAGGTCCAGCTGGGCTCGGAATTTGGCCTGGAGGAAAATTCCTTCCTGTCCCCAAAGTGGCGATCAGCATTTCCCTGGGCGTGTAAGAAAGGGCCATGAGAACTAAGCCCTGCGGCAACCCTTCCTGCCCTCCCTCTTCGTGATCTACCCAAGTTCACAGAATCAGCATGGCTGTCAGAGGGCCATCTAGCCTCTGCTTGAAAACCTCCCAAGAAGGAAAGCCCACCACCTCTGTGAGATCCTTCCAGATCTGGAATGTGGGGCAATGCAATAGATAAGTTTGTAGATCAGCTGTCTCGGGTGGTACTTGGAGCCGGAAGGCGGGTAATGAATGAAAGGATGGATAACAGCCATCCCTTCCCTTCCGTTCCGTTCCATCCATGTCTCATCCGGCTCATGAGCGGTCATCTCCATGACAAACCTGTCGATCAGGTTACTGTGAGCTAAGTCAAGAACTCAGAGGTACAGGGTTTTTTTTAAAGAAAAATGTGGGGTGGGTGGCTGGGGGAGTGTGCCTCAGCTCTGGCTTGCAACGGAGGATTGGACGAGGAGGCCGTGTGATTGTTGCCAGCTTCACCAATGAGATTGTGCAAAAGAGAACATCGGCACTGTCACAGAAGATTTTAACTCTTCTGCCACTAGATGCAGCAGCTGGAGCAGAGGTCCATCAGCAGCTGTTAGCCACAATGTATATAGATGAAACACTCTGTCTGGGGCAGGGATGCTCCGTAGTCTTGGTGCTTGTTGGGCAACAGTGGGAAGGCTTCTGGAGTTCTGGCCCCGCTGGTGGACCTCCTGATGGCCCCTGGGTTTTGGTCACTGAGTGACACAGAGGGTTGG